AGAAGAACTGATAGGACTAGAAGGAAGAACTGATAGGGCTAGAATAAAGAACTGATAGGACTAGAAAGAAGAACTGATAGGACTAGAAGGAAGAACTGATAGGGCTAGAAGGAAGAACTGATAGGACTAGAAAGAAGAACTGATAGGACTAGAAGGAAGAACTGATAGGGCTAGAAGGAAGAACTGATAGGACTAGAAAGAAGAACTGATAAGACTAGAAGGAAGAACTAATAAAACTAGAAGGAAGAACTGATAGGACTAGGAGGAAGAACTGATAAGACTAGAAGGAAGCCGGCAACTTTTTGGTTATTCTTGCCTGAAAAAAGTGTGTTTTTTGCAGCAACAGGTCTCGACCCATAAACCCTTGGACTTACATTTCAAATATATTAACCACTCTTCGCTCTTATATTTTTTTATGATAGGCTTACTCAAGAAGATTTGATGCTCTTTTTTTTGATCCACAAGGATACTTTACAAATTTAAGAAGAGGAATAATAGACAAGTTTTCTTTCAAATGCAACAACATGACAAGTTTTTTCTTTCAAATGCATCAAAATTCCATTCCATCACTTCTACACAACAGCACTTTCATTAACACAAAATTAACACATTCGAAAATCAACTTACCAGTGGCTTCCATCGCGGTACTTGTAGTAGTTCTTCCACCAGCTGCTGACTGGACTAAAGATGTGGTTAGATGTTCCCTTGATGTGCTCTCGGTAAAGTCTGATAGAAGAGTGGAAACTGGTGTAACAGAAGAAATGTGATCGGAATGAAGTTGGTCGATTTCCGAGGTTACGTTTTCCGAAACAACCGTTGTCAGATGTGAAATAAATATTTCTGGTACTTGACTAGTTAGTAATGTTGTCTCATTGGTTAGCTGACTTCTTTTAGTTGGACCTGGGGATGGAGTGACTTTCTGCATTGTGGAAGTCCGTGTATTTGTTACATTTTCGAAATAAATGTACGAAGAAAGGGATGATTGGAATACGTTTTGTAAAGTCTCCGACTCTGTCAGCTGATTCATTATTGTTGGTTCCTCAGCTATTCCCACACTAGCTGTACGAATCTCAACTCTTCCTGTTGGTGTGCTTGTCTCGTTTTCAGTGGGCAGCATTATTTTTGAAGATACTGTAGAAGATTTAGACTGAAAAGTGGCGTCCACCGCTTCAGCTACAAGTGAGTGGGTCATAGAGATTTCTTCCGCCGAAGATGGCTTTTCGGATGTCACTGGCAGTTTTGTTACAGCTAATGTAGCAGCGTTCTCTGCTACCTCAGACATAACTTGTCTCTCTGTGTGACTGAAGTCTGAAAAAAAGAGGGGGGAACTAAACTATGTTGTATTTCTACACATTGTTACTACTATTGTTACTTAATTAAAAATTGCAAATCAGTAACGAAATACCCGAGGTGTAAGATGAATATTGTTTGACTTGGTGAACACGATAGCAGCAGTGGTAGGTATTTTACTGTCTCTTCTGTAAAGATAACTTTCTGTTTTTAACGGATATCATGGGTATTAAATGATGCAAAAAACCCGTAAGTTTTCTAAATATTTATAAACCTGTAATTGGCAAACCCCTTCCCCCCCACACACACACCTCTTTTTAACCACACTAACATTTTCTGTTTGTTTGTTTGTAGTTAAGCACAAAGTTGCACAAAGGGCTATCTGTGCTCTGCCCACCACGGGTATCGGAACCTGGTTTCTAGCGTTGTAAGTCCACATATATACCGCTGTGCCACTGGGGGCCTAACATTCTCTATTCATCTCGTTTGGTTAAATTAAAACTCAACCAATTATAGACTTAATAGCCAAGATTTATGACCTCGTTCTCACACTTGAGTACAATAATCTAAAACAGAAATTATTTGTAGGTAGTTAAGCACAGAGCTTCACAATGGGCTATCTGTGCTATGCCCACCGCGGATTTTGAAACCCAATTCTTAGCGTTGTAAGCCCTCAGATTTGCCGCTGAGCTACTGAGAGAGGGACGACTAGTAATATTGGAAGTCATAAGCAGCACATGCAGACTTTAGACATGTAACGGACCGAGATAAAATATTGCTTGGTTTTCGTTTATAGCGTTAAAGACATATGTGCGAGTCAGTTTTTTATAATGATTCTTACCTAGAATTCTTTAACAAAATAATTTTCAAGCATTAAAAAAATACCAAGAACATTTAAGAGTTAAAGTACTTAATAATTTTTTGTCTTACCCAACATTCTTTATTAACAGATTCTGAATAAGTAACTTCTAATAATGCACTTTTTAAGCACAAAGTTGAATAATGAGCCATCTGCTCTTTGTCTTCTACCAAGAATCAAACCCCGGATTTTAGCGTTTTAATTCTGATCCACTGGGAACTACGTCGTCGTGAAAATATCACCAGAAAACAAAAAAAGTGTTTTTTTTACGGTTAATATGAACATTCAGATTTACAATAAATTTAGGCAAAAAATAAAGTAACATATTTATTGGAATAAAATTTGATAACTCGTTTGGATCTCAAAATGATTGTGGTTGAAAAGATCGTTAACAGCGAGATCATGCAACTAATAATTAAATTCAACCACTTTCCAGAAATTCCAAACTGTTTCATCTAATAAATGGTAATATTATTATAATTCATTCTCCTTTAACCAAGTCCGGTATGGTCAGGTAGTTATGGCGCTTGACTCGCAATCTGAGGTTCGTGGGGGGCTTTATAATGAGACGGTCACTTGGTAAAAGACTAGCCAATGAGTTGACGGTGGGTGGTCATGACTAGCTGCTCTCCCTCTAGTTTTTCTCTGCTAAATTAGGGACGGCTAGCGCAGATAGACCTCGTGTAGCTTTGCGCGAGATTCGAAACATACCGTAGTACCTAACTTGTTATTACTACTAGACTTAAGTTTGTTTGTTTGTTTTTGAATTTCGCGCAAAGCTACACGAGGGCTATCTGCGCTAGCCGTCCCTAATTTGGCAGTGTAAGACTAGAGGGAAGGCGGCTAGTCATCACCACCCACCGCCAACTCTTGGGCTACTCATTTACCAACGAATAGTGGGATTGACCGTCACATTGTAACGCCCCCACGGCTGAAAGGGCGAGCATGTTTGGTGTGACGAGGATTCGAACCCGCGACCCTCAGATTGCGAGTCGAGCAACTTAACCACCTGGCCATGCCGGGCCTACTAGACTTAAGCGATACTCTGGTTTGTCTTGTCTTAATTTTATTTATATGCTTACCTAGTTGTGTTTTACGTCGAGTTTTGTCTGAGAAAACTACACATATGGAACTGTAGTTTGTGTGTTTATAGAGGGGCAAGTAAGTCTGTAAACTTACCGCTGATCCGGTACACACACATGTACTCCTTTTTTTTTACATCCTAAGTTTTTCATCTAAGCTTCTCGTAGGCTTTTAATAAAGGATTTCCCACCAAATCCGGAAATATAAAATATTATTATTGCCCAAAATAATATGTATTAATGTAAGAACAGGATTTGAAATTTGTATCCTGAACGGCACCTTATACACACGTGAACTAAGCAAGCAGATCAAAGACTTCTAGAATCCAGTTATAGACGTACTTAATTTGGAACGACTGACGACAAGAAAGACAGTCAGTCAGTAACACCCGCCGTCACAAGAGCTTTGTCTCGTTTTTGTAACCGAATAATGAGATTGACAGTAACTTTTATATCGCGCCTAGGAATGAAAGTGCAAAGCTTGTTCAGCTGCATGTCTTAAACCTTGAATGTTTCAATCCGTTGCACGCATGCCAACCGATTGTAAGTCCGCAGACATACCGCTGTGCCACTGGGCGGGGGGGGGGGGGGGCGTTTCTTTATCAAAGAGTTTATTTAAAACATTACTGTAAAATATTTGACTTTTGGAACGAGTCCTAGTAAAAAGGATCATCAGTTGCTCATAACAGTAAATTTAGGTTTAAAACTGACGTTGGACACAGGAATGATATAGTCTTGAGCTAATACTAAAAAAAATGACAAACATATTAAAATGGAAAACAGTTGTAAAAACAAGAAAAGGTTGAATATTTCTTACTTATTTCAAACTAACTTTCAATTATTTACTTCCTCAGCTGTATTTAAATTTGTAATAACGTTATCTTTCACAGGAAATTATTTTACTTTATTATTTTACATGTGAAGTTTTAACACACTACATTGCACATACTTAATTATTAGTTTTATTACTTTTATTTAACCAGGAGCCACAAGAACATTTTATTTTGAAATCTACAAAAATCTAATACTAAACTTCATATTTCTTAACTCATTATTACATATGGAAACCAAAGATAGCAAGCAGAAAGAGACCAGAAAGAAAAAAGATGTCAGCCACATCATAAAAAATAATTCCGAATAACAAAATTACGACTAAGGCTCTTAACCATATAATTTTATTCTATCAAAGAAAATGGATTGAGCATACATTTATAAAGAAAACAAAAATCGTTATATAATACTAAATTATCTTACCACTAGTAGAAGCGATAAAAGTAATTGATGAAGACTCGGGACTTTTGTAGGTTTCTACTTCTTCAGGTGTTGATTCCTCGATAGGATGGTTCGTTGATATCCCTGAAATCGGTGTATTCTGCATTTGCGACGCACTTGATATCTCAGCTACTGAAGATTCAGTACCAACTGGTGTTGCAGAGGTTTCTGCCAATTTTGTTGTTAGTTCTTCAATAACTGTTTTGGTTGTTATTGGAGTTCCTTCCTTTGGCGTTTGTGTAGTCTCCACCAATATCGATGTCAGTTCCTCACTAGGAGTTTTCTTAGTGAATGATGTTTTTTCTGCTTCCTCTAGCAGTTGTGTAGTCTGTATTTCCGATGCACTTGATATCTCAACTGCTGAAGATTGAGTAGCTGTTGCTGTTGCAGATGTTTCTCCAAATTTTGTTGTTAATTCCTCATTAACAGTTTTCGTCGATAAAGAAGATTCAGTGCTTTTTGCTGTTCCAGAGGTTTCGACAAAATGAGATGTTAGTTCCTCACTAGGAGTTATTGTAGTTCCATCTGCCGCCTCTAATGTTTGTCTAGTTTGCATTTGCGATGCACTTGATATCTCATTTATTAAAGATTCAGTACCAACTGGTGTTGCAGAGGTTTCTACCAATTTTGTTGTTAGTTCTTCAATAGCCGTTTTGGTTGTTATTGGAGTTCCTTCTTTTGGCGTTTGTGTAGTCTCCATTTGTGTTCCACTTGATATCTCATTTATCGAAGATTCAGTAACTTTTTCTGTGGGAGTGGTTTCTACAAATATTGATGTTAATTTCTCACTAGCCGTTTTGGTAGAGGCAGAAGTTTCTTGTGATACCTCTGGCATTTGTGAAGTCTGCATTTGCGATACACTTGATATCTCAGTTACGGAAGTTTCAGCACCTATTTTTGTCGAAACATCTTCAACAGCAAAAGGCACCGAATCTTTAGTATCTACCAAAACTGCTAGTGAGGAATTAACAACAAAACTTTTACAAACTTCAGCAACAGCAATTAACATCAAAACCTCCCTAGCAATCACCATTAACTACCAAACTAGAGGAAGCAGAAGGAACATTTGTGTAGTCTGTATTTCCGATGCACTTGGAGAAACATCTGCAACAGGAATAGCTAGTGAATCTTCAGCAGCTGAGATATCAATTAACAACAAAATTTCCTCACTAACAGTTTTCGTAGATACTGAAGATTCAGTGCTTTTTGCTGTTGCAGAGGTTTCGACAAAATGGGATGTTAATTCTTCACTAGGAGTTATCGTACTTCCGTCTGCCACCTCTAGTGTTTGTGTAGTTTGCATTTGCGATGCACTTGATATCTCATTTATTGAAGATTCAGTACCAACTGGTGTTGCAGAGGTTTCTGCCAATTTTGTTGTTAGTTCTTCAATAGCCATTTTGGTTGTTATTGGAGTTCCTTCTTTTGGCGTGTGTATATTCTCCATTTGTGTTCCACTTGATATCTCATCTATTGAAGATTCAGTACCAACTGGTGTTGCAGAGGTTTCTACCAACTTTGTTGTTAGTTCGTCAATAGCCGTTTTGGTTGTTATTGGAGTTTCTTCCTTTGGGGTGTGTATATTCTCCATTTGTGTTCCACT